GGTGTGGGTCACATCCTGTGTGTTAGTGGACTTGTGTGGGCCGCATCCTGGATGTTAGTGGACTGGTGTGGGTCACATCCTTGGTGTTAGTGGACTGATGTGGGTGGCACCCTGGGTGTTATTGGACTGGTGTGAGTCACATCCTTGGTGTTAGTGGACTAATCTGAGTCACATTCTAGGTGTTAGTGGACTGCTGTGGGCCACATCCTGGGAGTTAGTGGTCTGCTGTGGGTCACATCCTGTGTGTTAATGGACTGATGTGGGTCATATCCTGGGTGTAAGTGGACTAGTTTGGGTCACATTTTGCGTGTTAATAGACTGGTGTGGGTCACATCGTGGGTGTTAGTGGACTGGTGTGGGTGGCATCCTGGGTGTTAGTGGACTGGTGTAGGTAACATCCTGGGTGTTAGTGGACTGGTGTGGGTGGCATCCTGGATGTTAGTGGACTGGTGTGGGTCACATCGTGGATGTTAGTGGACTGGTGTTGGTCACATCCTGGGTGTTAGTTGACTGGTGTAGGTAACATCCTGGGTGTTAGTGGACTGGTGTGGGTCACAGTATGAGTGTTAGTGGTCTGGAGGGGGTCACATCCAGGGTGTTAGTGGACTGGTGTGGGTCACATCCTGGGTGTTAGTGGACTGGTGTGGGTCACATCCTGGGTGTTAGTGGACTGGTGGGGTTTACATCCTGGGTGTTAGTGGATTGATGTGGGTCACATCTTTGGCGTTAGTGGACTGGTGTGGGTGGCATCCTGGATGTTAGTGGATTGGTTTGGGTCACATCTTGGGTGTTAGTGAACTGGTGTCGGTCACATCCTGGGTGTTAATGGACTGGTTTGGGTCACATCCTGGGTGTTAGTGGACTGGTGTGGGTCACATCCTGGGTGTTAGTGGACCGGTGTGGGTCACATCTTGGGTGTTAGTGGACTGGTGTGGGTCACATCCTGGGTGTTAGTGGACAGGTGTTGGTCACATCCAGAGTGTTAGTGGACTGGTGTGGGTCACATCTTGGGTGTTAGTGGACTGGTGTTGGTCACATCTTGGGTGTTAGTGGACTGGTTTGGGTCACATCCTGGGTGTTAGTGGATTGGTGTGGGTCAAATCCTGGGTGTTAGTGTACTGGTGTGGGTCACATCCTGGGTGTTAGTGGACTGGTGTGGGTGGTATCCTGGGTGTTAGTGGACTGGTGTTGGTCACATCCTGGCTGTTAGTGGACTGTTGTTGGTCACATCCTGGGTGCTAATGGACTGGTGTGGGTCACATCCTGTGTGTTAGTGGACAGGTGTTGGACACATCTAGAGTGTTAGTGATCTGGTGTGGGTCACTTCCTGGGTGTTAGTGGACTGGTGTGGGTCAAATCCTGGGTGTTAGTGTACTGGTGTGGGTCACATCCTGGGTGTTAGTGGACTGGTGTGGGTGGTATCCTGGGTGTTAGTGGACTGGTGTTGGTCACATCCTGGCTGTTAGTGGACTGTTGTTGGTCACATCCTGGGTGCTAATGGACTGGTGTGGGTCACATCCTGTGTGTTAGTGGACAGGTGTTGGACACATCTAGAGTGTTAGTGATCTGGTGTGGGTCACTTCCTGGGTGTTAGTGGACTGGTGTGGGTCACATCTTGCATGTTAGTGGACTGGTGTGGGTCACATCTTGGTGTTAGTGCATTGGTGTGGGTCACATCCTGGGTGTTAGTGGACTGGTGTGTGTCACATTCTGGGTTTAGGGGACGGGTGGGGTCACATCCTGTGTGTTAGTGGGACGGTGTTGGTCACATCTAGAGGTTTTAGTGATCGGGTGGGGTCACTTCCTGGGTTTAGTGGACTGGTGTGGGTCACCATCTTGCCTGTTAGGGGACTGGGGGGGGTCACATCCTTGGTGTTAGTGGATTGGTGTGGGTCACATCCTGCGTGTTAGTGGACTGGTGTGGTTTACATCCTGGGTGTTACTGGACTGGTGTGGTTCGCATCCTGGGTGTTAGTGGACTGGTGTTGGTCACATCCTGTGTGTTAGTGGACTCGTGTGGGTCACATTCTGGGTGTTAGTGGACTGGTGTGGGTCACATCCTGGGTGTTAATGCACTGGTGTGGGCCACATCCTGGGTGTTAGTGGGGTGGTGTGGGTCACATCCTGTGTGTTAGTGCACTCGTGTTGGTCACATCCTCGTTGTTAGTTGACTGGTTTGGATGACATCCTGGGTGTTAGTGGACTGGAGTGGGTCACATCCAGGGTGTTAGTGGACTGGTGCGGATCACATCCTGGGTGTTAGTGGACTGGTGTGGATGACATCCAGTTTGTTAGTCGACTGGTGTGGGTGGCATCCTGGGTGTTACTGGACTGGTGTGAGTCACATCCTGGATGTTAATTGACTAGTGTGGATCACGTCCTGGGTGCTAGTAGACTGGTGTGGGTCACATCCTGGGTGTTAGTGGACTGGTGTGGGTCACATCCTGAGTGTTAATGGACTGGTATGGATGACATCCTGGGTGTTAGTGGACTGGTGTGGGTGGCATCCTGTGTGTTAGTGGACTGGTGTGTGTCACATCCTGGGTGTTAATGAACTGGTGTGGGTCACATCCTGTGTGTTTGTGGACTTGTGTGGGCCGCATCCTGGAAGTTAGTGGACTGGTGTGGATCACATCCTTGGTGTTAGTGGACTGATGTGGGATGCACCCTGGGTGTTATTGGACTGGTGTGAGTCACATCCTGGGTGTTAGTGAACTGGTGTTGGTCATATCCTGCGTGTTAGTGGACTAATGTGAGTCACATTCTAGGTGTTAGTGGACTGGTGTGGGCCACATCCTGGGTGTTAGTGGTCTGCTGTGGGTCACATCCTGTGTGTTAATGGACTGATGTGGGTCACATCCTGTTTTAAGTGGACTAGTTTGGGTCACATTCTGCGTGTTAGTAGACTCGTGTGGGTCACATCGTGGGTGTTAGTGGACTGGTGTGGGTCACATCCTGGGTGTTAGTGAACTGGTGAGAGTCACATCCTGGGTGTTAGTGGACTGGTGTGGATTACATGCTGTGTGTTAGTGGACTGGTGTGGGTCACATCCTGGGTGTTAGTGAACTGGTGAGAGTCACATCCTGGGTGTTTGTTGACTGGTGTGGATCACATCCTGGATGATAGTGGATTGGTGTGGGTGGCATCCTGGGTGTTAGTGAACTGGTGTGGGTCACATCCTGGTTATTAGTGAACTGGTGTGGGTCATGTCCTGGGTGTTACTGGACTAGTTTGGGTCACATTCTGCGTGTTAGTAGACTGGTGTGGGTCACATCCTATGTGTTAGTGTGCTGGTGTGGGTCATATCCTGGGTGTTAGTGGACTGGTGAGGGTAACATCCTGGGTGTTAGTGGACTGGTGTGGGTCACATCCTGGGTGTTAGTGGACTGGTGTTTGTCACATCTTGAGTGTTAGTGGACTGGTGTGGGTCACATCCTGGGTGTTAGTGGACTGGTGTGGGTCATATCCTAGGTGTTAGTGAACTAGTGTGGGTCACATCGTGGGTGTTAGTGGACTGGTGTGAGTCACATCCTGGGTGTTAGTGCACTGGTGTGAATCACGTCCTGGGCGTTAGTGGACTTGTGTGGGTCACATCCTGCGTGTTAGTTAACTGGTGTGGGTCACATCCTGGGTGTTAGTGGACTGGTGTTGGTCACATCCTGGGTGTTAATGGACTGGTGTAGGTAACATCCTGGGTGTTAGTGGACTGGTGTGGGTCACAGTATGAGTGTTAGTGGTCTGGTGTGGGTCACTTCCTGAGTGTTAGTGGACTGGTGTGGGTCACGTCCTGGGTGTTAGTGGACTGGTGTGGGTCACATCCTGTGTGTTAGTGGACTAATGTTGGTCACATCCTGGGTGTTATTGGACTGGTGTAGGCAACATCCTGGGTGTTAGTGGACTGGTGTGGGTCACATCCTGGGTGTTAGTAGACTGGTGTGGGTCACATCCTGGGTTTTAGTGGACTGGTGTGGGTCACATCCTGGGTGTTAGTGAACTGGTGTGGGTCACACCATGAGTGTTAGTGGTCTGGTGTGGGTCACATCCTGGGTGTTAGTGGACTGGTGTGGGTCACATCCTGGGTTTTAGTGGACTGGTGTGGGTCACATCCTGGGTGTTAGTGAACTGGTGTGGGTCACACCATGAGTGTTAGTGGTCTGGTGTGGGTCACTTCCTGAGTGTTAGTGGACTGGTGTGGGTCACATCCTGGGTGTTAGTGGACTGGTGTGGGTCACATTCTGTGTGTTAGTTGACTTGTGTGGGTCACATCCTGGGTGTTAGTGGACTAATGTTGGTCACATCCTGGGTGTTTTTGACTGGTGTATATAACATCCTGGGTGTTAGTGGACTGGTGTGGGTCACATCCTGGGTGTTAGTGGACTGGTGTGGGTAACATCCTGGGTGTTAGTGGACTGGTGTGGGTCACATCCTGGGTGTTAGTGGACTGGTGTGGTTCACATCCTCGGTGTTAGTTGACTGGTGTGGGTCACATCCTGGGTGTTAGTTGACTGGTGTGGGTCACATCCTGGGTGTTAGTGGACTGGTGTGGGTCACATCCTGGGTGTTAGTGGACTGGTGTGGGTCACATCCTGGGTGTTAGTGGACTGGTGTGGGTCACATCCTGGGTGTTAGTGGACTGGTGTGGGTCACATCCTGGGACAAAACTGACATAATTTGCGGGAAATGCTGTACATAACAAGGGACTTTCTATATAGTAGTATGTCACTGATGTCAGCTATGGTCTGTATACCTTGTACATGTACTGGTATACCTTGTACATGTACTGGTATACCTTGTACATGTACTGGTATACCTTGTACATGTACTTGTATGCCTTGTATATGTACTGGTATACCTTGTACATGTACTGGTATACCTTGTACATGTACTGCTAGTAAATAATGATATTATTATTATTATTATTATTATTATTATTATTATTATTATTATTATTATATTATTATTATTATTATTTTTATTTTTATTATTATTTTTATTTACAGGAGAGTGTAATGGGACGGCATGGGAGGAGGCGAGACTGTAACCTGTGTGGCGTGGGAAGGGGTACAGCGTTTGCATTTAACTCAACTTTTTTATGGGATACCTGACGTGACGGTACCGGGGAGGTGTAATGTCGTGGTGTACACTGGGAGGTGTGTATGTCACGGATACAGAGGGGTATGTATGTCGGTGTGAAACACGGGGGGTGTAGTCGGTGTGTTTTCCCACAGGGAGGTGTGTAGCAGTGTGTATACACCGAGAGCTTGTTTTTCTGTGTGTTTACATGGGAAATGTGTATGTCATGAATACACTTGGAGGTGTTATGAAGTTGTTTTTTGGGATTTTGTGTAGTCAGTGTGTATACACAGGAGATGTGTTGAAAAAGGTTTATACACAGGGGGATGGTATTCAGTTGTATTACTGGGGTATATATGTCAGTGGTTACTCTGGAGGGTGAATCATGTGTAACACGGGGAGGGGGTTTTGCATGTGTATAACCGAAAGATGTGTATGTCAGGTGATCACGAGGGTGTGTATGTCAGTGTGTATACCCGGGGAGATTGTATTCGGTGTGATAAACCGGGAAGGGTGTGTTGTCAGTGTGTAACACTGGAGGTGTGAAATCGTGTGTAACAAGGGAGGTGTGAGCGGTGTGTATGAAGGAGGTGTGTATGTCGGGGGATACACGGGGGGTGGTATGTCAGTGTGTATCCCGGGTGATGTTATGTCAGTGTGTATACTGGGGGTGTGTATTCAGTGGTATACACCAAAAAGATGTGTATGTCAGGTGTTACACCGAGGGGGGTGAAGTCAGTGTGATACCCTGGGAGATGTGAGTCAGTGTGATACACCGAGAGGTGTCATGCAGTGTGAAAAACCTGGGAGGTGTTTTGTCAGTGTGTATACACCGAGAGGGGGTATTTCAGTGTGTATCCTGGGAGGTGTGTATTCAGGTGATACACCGGAGGTGGTATGTCAGTGTGTTACTCCGAGAGGTGTGTTTTCATGTGTATAACTGGGAGTGTGTATATCAGTTTGTAAACACGAGAGGTGTATTGTGGTTATACACAGAGAGGGTGTATGTCTGTGTGTAGAAACCGAGAGGTGTGTATTGAGTGTGTTACAGGGGAGATGTGTATGTCAGGTGCATCACGGAAGGTGTAGTCACGTGTTACACTGTGAGGTGGTATTATGTGTATACACTGTGGGTATGTATGTCGTGTGTATACACTGTGAGGTGTGTTGTCGGGTTGTATACACTGGAGGGGTGTATGTCAGTGTGATACACGTGAGGTGTGTATGTCAGTGTGAAAACACTGTGAGGTGGTAGCAGTGTGTATAACGGGAAAGGTGTGATGTCAGGGGGTTTTAACACGGGAGGTGTGTTGTCATGGTTAACTGGGGGGTGTTATGTCAGGGAAACACTGGGGTGTGATGTCAGGTGATAGCCGAGAAGTGTGTATGCAGTGTGTTACACTGTGGGGTGTATGTCGGTGTATCCCTGTGAGGTTTTATGTCATGTGTTACACTGGGGGGTGTGTAGTCTTGTTTATAAACTGTGAGGTGTGAAAGTCATGTGTTACGCCGGAAGTGTGAAAATGTCATGTGATCACGTGAGGTGTGTATGTCGGTGTATCACTGGGGGGTGTGTATGTCATGTGTTACACTGGGTGTGTATGTCAGTGTTTTACACGGGGATTTTGGTATGTCAGTTGATACACTGGGAGGTGTGTATTCATGGGTATCACTGTGGGGTTGTATGTCAGTGTGTAAACCTGTGAGTGTTTATGTCAGGTGTATCCCTTTGTAGGTGTGTATGTCGGTGGTATCACTGGGAGGTGTGTATGTCAGTGTGATACACTGGGGGGTTGAAATGCTGGTTATACACTGTGAGGTGTGATGTCATGGTAACCCCGAGAGGTGTGTAAAAAGTGTGCATAACGGGGAGGTGTTATGCACTGTATACACTGTGGGGTGTGTAGTCAGTTTATACCTGTGGGGTGTGTATGTCATGGTATACCTGGGAGGTGTGTATGTCAGTTGAACACTGGGGGGTGTGAAAGTCATGTGTATACACTGTGAGGTGTGAATTGTCAGTGTGTAACACGGGGGGTGGTATGTCAGTGTGTTACACTGGAGGTGTGTATTCTTGTGTATACACTGTGGGGTTTATGTCATGATATACCCGAGAGGGTGTATACATGTGCATACACGGGAGGTGTGTAGCCCCGCGTGTAAACTGTGGGTGTGTATGTCAGTGTGAAACACTGTGGGTGTGTAGCAGTGTGTATACACGGAGTGTTTGTCGTGTGTTACAGGAGGTGGAAAGCGTGTGTATCACTGGGAGGTGTGTATGTCATGTGTATACACGGGGAAAGGGTGTGTATGTCGTGTGTATCACTGTGGGGTGTTATGTCAGTGAGTTACCCCGAGGGGTATGTATAATGTGATACACGGGAGGTGGTATGTCACGTGTAACAGTGAGGTGTGTATGTCATGTGTATACACTGTGAGGTGTGATGTCATGTGTAACACTGGGAGGTGTGTATGTCTGGTATACACTGGGGTGTGTATGTCATGGTATAACCGTGAGGTGTGTTTCAGTGATATACTCCAGAGGGGTGTATATCAGGGGCCCAACAGGGGATTTTATGTTTTTATGTGTAACACTGGGAGGTATGTTGCCAGTGTGTAAAAGGGGAGGTGTGATGTCAGTGTGTATACACTGTGAGGTGTGTATGTCATGGTATACCCCGTGGGGTTTGTATTTTAGGGTATACACCGTGAGGTGGTATTCAGTGTGTATACCCGTGAGGTGTGTATGTCGTGTGATACACTGTGGGGTGTGTAGTCAGGGGTTTAACACCGTGAGTGGTTGTTAGTGAGCAACACCGTGAGGGTGTTTGTTAGTAGTATACACCGTGAGGTGTGTATGTTAGTGATATCCCCGTGAGGTGGTATTCATTTTGGTATACACCGGAGGTGGTATGTTAGTGAGTATACACCGTGAGGTGTGTATGAAGTGTGTATACACCTGGGTGTGTTGTCAGTGTGTTACCCCGTGAGGTGTGTATGTTAGTGAGTATACACGTGAGTGTTTTGTTGTGATAACACCGTGAGGTGGTTGTCAGTGATATACCCCGTGAGGTTGTATTTAGTGATTAAACCCCCTGAGGGGGTTTATTTTAGTGAGAATACACCGTGAGGTGGTATGCGTTGAATACATGACTGTTACACAGACTTACATTTTTTCACAGGGGAAAAATCAAAAGGGCACATCACTTGCTTCGTGTGACGTTTTGGAAAACACAGTGTTGCATGCCACTAATTGGCACTCCCCCTCCAGACGCCGCAGTGGAGTGCATACCCGGGAAACTCGCTTCAGAATCACTGCAATCGTGAGTGCCACGCATGCCAGTGGGAGGTACGTGTAGCGACGGCCCATGTAAAGCAGGTGAGTCAAATAATTATATATATATTATATATATATATATATATATATTATATATAATAATATATTTTATATATTATATATTATATTATAAAATATTATATATTATATATATAATATATATTAATATAATATAAAAATATATATTGCAAGAAAGAATTGATAAAATTTTTTTTAAAGTTGCTAGAAAACTTTTTACAAACCAAAAAGGGACAACCACCTTATCAACAAAATTGTTGGTTTTCCTTACCCTCAAAAATTGGTTGTATGCCTTTCTTTTTAAACTTTTAAAATTAAAGTTGTATTCAAAAATCTTGATACAGTAAAAAAAACTTTTGATAAAGGGAAATTCCCCCCAAAATTGATGATGTGTCTATAAAATTCCTTGTAAAATTTGCGATAAAATTTATTACTCAAAACTGGTAAAAAATCTCGAACTAAGATTAAAAAACTAAATAAGCTTTTGAAATGCAAGATTCCAATGCTTATTTTTTCATGTAAGAGATTTTAACCATCCCAATTTATTTTCAAAAAATTTTAGAAGTAGTATAAAACAAGTCCCATGGTCGACAGGGAAATAATTTAAAACTTGTTTTATAAAAAACTTTTGAAATAATATGAATATTTTCCTTTGGTTTATATAAATTAGTTTTTATAATTAATAGAATTTGGAAAATTTATAAACATTGGGCAAATAAAAATTTTTTTTAAAATTTTTTATTTCTTGGGGGAATATTTTGTTGGGGGGTTGTTGAAGGGAAAGTCTAGTTGGGCCCGGGGGCCGCTGTCTAGTGTCAGGGGTTTCGTTTTTGAGGATCTGATAGTGAGGGTGGGTACCCCTTTATAACCTTCCCTTTTATGCTTTTCTTTTTTGTTTCCCTTTATAATGTGAGTATCACGAAAGCGCTGGAACTTCTCTATTTTTTCACGTGTTTTTTTTGCATAATATTATTAATAAATAATATAATATATATATATATATGTGTGTGTGTGTGTGTGTGTGTGTGTGTGTGTGTGTGTGTGTGTGTGTGTGTGTGTGTGTGTGTGTGTGTGTGTGTGTGTGTGTGTGTGTGTGTGTGTGTGTGTATGTGTCGTGCCGAATAGGCAGAACTTGCCATCTTGGCTTAAATAGCAACGCTCATCTTGCCATATAGGACAAGTGAAAATTTGTGTATGCAATAATTTCGCCAAAATCATTCTGAACCTAACGAAAAAAATATATTTCACTGTGTTTGTTTAGTATTAAATTATTGTAAACAAATCTAAAATATATTTAGTTGGACTAGGTTAAAATAAATTGCTCTTGTTATAATAAGGTTAGGTAAGTTTTCTAAGATTCTTTAGTTGCAAAATTAAAATTTTTTACATTATCATTAATGAAAAAAATATATCATTAAACGTATAAGAGAAAATTTCAGAAAGGACTTCATTTTAAATGAGTTCTTGCTAATTGACCAGTTTTACATATTCGGCACGACATATATATATATATATATATATATATATATATATATATATATATATATATATATATATATATATATATATATATATATATATATATATATATAATTATATATATATATATATATATATATATATAATATATATATATATATATATATATATAATACTAGTGATATACAGTTTCATGAATTGGGTAGGCAGATTCTAAATCTCAGAGTAATAAGGATATACCAAAGTTATAACACTATAGATATACAACGATATCGTGAGTTGGGCAGGGAGGTACAACATCTCAGAGGAACAAGGAAGTGCCAGAGTTGGATGTTGGGTAAGTGCTTGAGGCAGTGGGTAGAATGAACGGGAGCATAGCAGCTAGGACAAATGAGATTACGTCTAACATTTTACAAGCAAGTGGATATATAGTTTTAGAGAGGTTTTTGAATTCCTTAATAATAATAATAATAATAATAATAATAATAATAATAATAATAATAATAATAATAATAATAATAATAATAATAATAATAATAATAATAATAATAATAATTATTATTATTATTATTATTATTATTATTATTATTATTATTATTAATACATTGGCCAACTCTCAGCTATGCAAGCTGTCCAAAACCAGAGAAAATGCATTCACCATCATTCATTCAATTGCTGTCTTGCCAGAAACTTGCTAACATCAAAGTTTGTAGTGCCCTATGTACTGTAACTTCCCCACCCTTCCTTCAGAGTACAGGCACTGTACTTCCCACCTCCAGGACTCAAGTCCCAACTATCTGGTTTCCCCTGAATCCCTCCCTTCATGTCACTTTGCTCACACTCTAGCAGCACGTCGAGCTTTTAAAAACCACTTGCCTGTTGGATGTTCAAGCCTCTACCACTCAAAACTTCCTTTACCCCCTCTCTCCAACCTGTCGTAAGACGACCCCTACCTCTCCAGATCATCCTATTTTGCTCACATTATTATTATTATTATTATTATTATTATTATTATTATTATTATTATTATTATTATTATACGAGGAATATTGAAGGCAGTATATCAATAATTTTCTTTTTATCAGTGATGGAGGTAGAAGGGCAAAGGTGCGATCACGCTTACTTCCTAATGAATAAGTGCATTTGGTGTTGGTGTAAAGATGGTCACCTCACCTGCAACCACGACACCTGTGTTGCATCCCTCCAGCAGGTACCAGCCACCAAACGTACACCTACTGACAACTCCTGTACCTAGCAACTGACTACTCACATCCCCCACACTCTCTGATCATCAACTCTCCTGGGTGAGTATGTTGGGTAGTTGGTACAACACGGGTAGTTGGTACAACACGGGTAGTTGGTACAACACGGGTAGTTGGTACAACACGGGTAGTTGGTACAACATGGGTAGTTGGTACAACACGGGTAGTTGGTACAACACGGGTAGTTGGTACAACACGGGTAACCAGCTTGTTCAACGAGGTTAAGGCGCTTATACAATGATGTTAAGATGTATAAGGGTATAAGGGGAAGATGCTTGTATAAGGGGAAAGATGCTTGTATAAGGGGTAAAATGCTTGTATAAGGGGAAGATGCTTGTATAAGGGGAAGATGCTTGTATAATGGGAAGATGCCTGTATAAGGGGAAAGATGTTTGTATAAGGGGAAGATGCTTGTATAAGGGGAAGATGCTTGTATAAGGGGAAGTTGCTTGTATAAGGGGAAGATGCTTGTATAAGGGGAAGATGCTTGTATAAGAGGAAAGATGCTTGTATAAGGGGAAAGATGCTTGTATAAGGGGAAAATGCTTGTATAAGGGGTAAAATGCTTGTATAAGGGGAAGATGCTTGTATAAGGGGAAGATGCTTGTATAAGGGGAAGATGCTTGTATAAGGGGTAAAATGCTTGTATAAGGGGAAGATGCTTGTATAAGGGGAAGATGCTTGTATAAGGGGAAAGATGCTTGTGTAAGGGGTAAAATGCTTGTATAAGGGGAAGATGCTTGTATAAGGGGAAAGATGCTTGTATAAGGGGATGATGCTTGTATAAGGGGAAGATGCTTGTATAAGGGGAAGATGCTTGTATAAGGGGAAGATGCTTGCATAAGGGGTAAAATGCTTGTATAAGGGGAAGATGCTTGTATAAGGGGAAGATGCTTGTATAAGGGGAAGATGCTTGTATAAGGGGAAGATGCTTGTATAAGGGGGAAGATGCCTGTATAAGGGGAAAAATGCTTGTATAAGGGGAAGATGCTTGTATAAGGGGAAGATGCTTGTATAAGGGGAAGATGCTTGTATAAGGGGAAGATGATTGTATAAGGGTTAAGATGCTTGTATAAGGATTAAGATGCTTGTATAAGGGGAAAAATGCTTGTATAAGGGGAAAATGCTTGTATAAGGGGAAGATGCTTGTATAAGGGGTAAGATGCTTGTATAAGGGGAAAGATGCTTGTATAAGGGGTAAGATGCTTGTATAAGGGGAAAGATGCTTGTATAAGGGGAAAGATGCTTGTATAAGTGGTAAGATGCTTGTATAAGGGGAAAAATGCTTGTATAAGGATTAAGATGCTTGTATAAGGGTTAAGATGCTTGTATAAGGGTTAAGATGCTTGTATAAGGGTTAAGATGCTTGTATAAGGGGTAAGATGCTTGTATAAGGGGAAAAATGCTTGTATAAGGGGAAGGATGCTTGTATAAGGGGAAGATGCTTGTATAAGGGGAAGATGCTTGTAAAAGGGGTAAGATGCTTGTATAAGGGTTAAGATGCTTGTATAAGGGGAAAAATACTTGCACAGGAGATCGTAAACAGAAGCGAGAGGGGAACGCTCTCCCTGACGTTCACTCGACTGCAATTAACATATCTATGATTATAATTAATAAGTATGGAAGAAAGCCAGTGAGGGAGACTTGGCAACATTCCTCAGAGAGATACAGTAAAATTAGACGCTGTTGCATGCTGGGAGACGAAGAAAGAATAATTAATAGCCTTCACATTATCCAATACTTACACAGGAATTTTGTTTTCCAGACTGGAACTCCCACCCGGAGAAAGACGTAGTGGAAGCTGACTCTGTGCTGAGGCACTGCTGAGATGTTATCTTACAGTCGACAGTCTCAGAGATGCTTAACACTCTTGTCTTCAAGCAGGAAAACAAGCAAGCAATTTGCCGAACAGATTTCTAATGGGTAGAGGTTAATCAAGTCAGAAAGAAGTACGTCTCTCTATCTCTCTCTCAAACACTAGCATTTGGAGATGTCACCTACATTACTACGGTAATGTGGCTTCCTAATCTTAACCAGCCAGTCATAAATCCACTCAAGGAACTCCATCAACATTATTCATATGAGTATATCCACAAAACATCCACTTCCAGCTGGTGAGACTCGAACCCGCGGCAAGGATGTTGTCACTGTTCTTCCTGAAGTAAGGTAGCCAAGAGCACATTAAGACATGCATGCTTACAATCATTTAAATGTATTAACGATTAAACTGAAAATAATGATTATGTTCTTTTCCTTCATTTAATACCCATCTATCTTAAATAATAATAATAATAATAATAATAATAATAATAATAATGACTTACTATAATGAGTTCCAAAAAGTACTGAGGGAAGTTAGAGATCAGTATCGCCTCTACCCAGGAAAAAATTTCTCCTCCTATTCCGTGTGCCGCAAGTTTCCTCAATCGAAAGCCTTACTGAAGTCCATATACACAATATCATATTTAATACCATGATCTACTTCCTCAAACACCTTAGTGAAGTAAGTTAGTAAATTCGTAAGACAGGAACGCCCCTTTGTAAAACCATGTTGAGAATCATTAATCAATCTGTGCCTGTCAAGATGGCTACGAATTGCTTCAGCAATTATTGATTCCATAAATTTTCCCACTATGGAGGTAAGGCTTATTGGTCTATAGTTGGAAGCTAAGGACCTATCATCTGCCTTGTAAATAGGTATTACATTTGCCATTTTCCACTTATCAGGCACTATGCCACTTTGTAGTGATATGTTGAAAAGATTAGCCAAAGGTATGCTAAGTTCCTCTTTACATTCCTTTAAAACCTTTGCTAACAGTTCATTAGGACCTGGGGATTTGCTCGGTTTTAATTTCCCTATTTGTTTGAGAACCATGTCACTAGTTACCACAATCGTGCATAGTTTATTATCTATTATTTCTGGAATTTGGCTAGTATCTTCTTGGGTAAAACCTGAGAAGAAATACGAACTACTTTTAAGAGGGCCAATATTGTCCCTAATCTTGCTTCTGTGTACCTAAACTTGCTTCTGTGTACCTAATCTTACTTCTATGTACCTAATCTTGCTTCTGTGTACCTAATCTTGCTTCTGTGTACCTAATCTTACTTCTGTGTACCTAATCTTGCTTCTGTGTACCTAATCTTGCTTCTATGTACCTAATCTTGCTTCTGTGTACCTAATCTTACTTCTGTGTACCTAATCTTGCTTCTATGTACCTAATCTTGCTTCTATGTACCTAATCTTGCTTCTGTGTACCTAATCTTACTTCTGTGTACCTAATCTTGCTTCTATGTACCTAATCTTGCTTCTGTGTACCTAATCTTGCTTCTATGTACCTAATCTTGCTTCTGTGTACCTAATCTTACTTCTGTGTACCTAATCTTACTTCTGTGTACCTAATCTTACTTCTGTGTACCTAATCTTGCTTCTATGTACCTAATCTTACTTCTGTGTACCTAATCTTACTTCTGTGTACCTAATCTTGCTTCTATGTACCTAATCTTACTTCTATGTACCTAATCTTACTTCTATGTACCTAATCTTACTTCTATGTACCTAATCTTACTCCTATGTACCTAATCTTACATCTATGTACCTAATCTTATTCTATGTACCTAATCTTACTTCTACGTACCTAATCTTACTTCTATGTACCTAATCTTACTTCTACGTACCTAATCTTACTTCTATGTACCTAATCTTACTTCTACGTACCTAATCTTACATCTATGTACCTAATCTTACTTCTACGTACCTAATCTTACTTCTATGTACCTAATCTTACTTCTATGTACCTAATCTTACTTCTATGTACCTAATCTTACTTCTATGTACCTAATCTTACTTCTACGTACCTAATCTTACTTCTATGTACCTAATCTTACTTCTACGTACCTAATCTTACTTCTATGTACCTAATCTTACTTCTACGTACCTAATCTTACTTCTATGTACCTAATCTTACTTCTACGTACCTAATCTTACTTCTATGTACCTAATCTTACTTCTACGTACCTATCACATCACGATGAAGCTCATGCTACAGCTCTGCACACCTCTCTACACCAGGCCAATCCACCGCCCTAAATCAAACTCGGTGGCTCAGTGGTGCCGTGGTGGATCTCCTGTATACCAGCACCACGGTTCGAACCTCCAGTCATTCTTCAGGAATAATTAAAAGGGAAATTAAACAAAAATGAATATTAATAATTTTAATTTAACAAAAAATAGTGTTAGCAGACATGTTAAACTATATAATTACCTATCTACACATTAACCCAAGTTACATATTAACCCAAGTTACATAATAACCCAAGTTGCATATTAACCCAAGTTACATAATAACCCAAGTTACATATTAACCCAAGTTACATATTAACCCAAGTTACATATTAACCAAAGTTACATATTAACCCAAGTTACATATTAACCCAAGTTACATATTAACCCAAGTTACATATTAACCCAAGTTACATATTAACCCAAGTTACATATTAACCCAAGTTACATATTAACCCAAGTTACATATTAACCCAAGTTACATATTAACCCAAGTTACATATTAACCCAAGTTATATATTAACCCAAGTTACATATTAACCCAAGTTACATATTAACCCAAGTTACATATTAACCCAAGTTACATATTAACCCAAGTTACATATTACCCCCAAGTTACATATTAACCCAAGTTATATATTAACCCAAGTTACATATTAACCCAAGTTACATATTAACCCAAGTTACATATTAACCCAAGTTATATATTTACCCAAGTTACATATTAACCCAAGTTACATATTAACCCAAGTTACATATTAACCCAAGTTACATATTAACCCAAGTTATATATTTACCCAAGTTACATATTAACCCAAGTTATATATTTACCCAAATTACATATTAACCCAAGTTACATATTAACCCAAGTTACATATTAACTCAAGTTACATATTAACCCAAGATACATATTAACCCAAGTTACATATTAACCCAAGTTACATATTAACCCAAGTTACATATTAACCCAAGTTACTTATTAAACCAAGTTACATATTAACCCAAGTTACATATTAACCCAAGTTACTTATTAAACCAAGTTACATATTAACCCAAGTTACATATTAACCCAAGTTACATATTAACCCAAGTTACATATTAACCCTAGTTACATATTAACTCAAGTTAAATATTAACTAGGTTACATATTAACCCAAGTTAAATATTAACTAGGTTACATATTAACCTAAGTTACATATTAACCCAAGTTACCGCATCCAGGGTATAGTTATGTACCTACAGGTACATAATTACTCCCTGGACGCGGCCCAAGTGTCAGTAACCTAACTCCCAGGTACCTAGTTACAGCTAGGTGAGAGGAGACATGGTCATACCTCTCATCATGACCGGATATCGAATCCAGGTCTCTTTGGTTATGTGCCGAGTGCTCTGCCAATGAGCTGCAGGTCACGTGATTATAATAATTTAATTAGGACACAAGGGTAATTAGGTATCACTAAGTAACTGAACGGGAAATATTCAGTAATTAATCAGAGGTGTACTCTAGGAGAAGTTAGTCGTTTACAACGAGTACAAGAGTACTTCCTGGTTCACTACCAGTACATGTGTACTTCCTGGTTCACTACCAGTACATGTGTACTTCCTGGTTCACTACCAGTACATGTGTACTTCCTGGTTCACTACCAGTACATGTGTACTTCCTGGTTCACTACCAGTACATGTGTACTTCCTGGTTCACTACCAGTACATGTGTACTTCCTGGTTCACTACCAGTATATGTGTACTTCCTGGTTCACTAGCAGTACATGTGTACTTCCTGGTTCACTACCAGTACATGTGTACTTCCTGGTTCACTAGCAGTACATGTGTACTTCCTGGTTCACTACCAGTACATTGTCCTTCCTTGTTTCACTACCAGTACATGTGTACTTCCTGGTTCACTACCAGTACATGTGTCCTTCCTGGTTCACTACCAGTACATGTGTACTTCCTGGTTCACTACCAGTACATGTGTACTTCCTGGTTCACTACCAGTACATGTGTACTTCCTGGTTCACTACCAGTACATGTGTCCTTCCTGGTTCACTACCAGTACATGTGTACTTCCTGGTTCACTACCAGTACATGTGTACTTCCTGGTTCACTACCAGTACATGTGTACTTCCTGGTTCACTACTAGTACATGTGTACTTCCTGGTTCACTACCAGTACATGTGTCCTTCCTGGTTCACTACCAGTACATGTGTACTTCCTGGTTCACTACCAGTACATGTGTACTTCCTGGTTCACTACCAGTACATGTGTACTTCCTGGTTCACTACCAGTACATGTGTCCTTCCTGGTTCACTACCAGTACATGTGTACTTCCTGGTTCACTACCAGTACATGTGTACTTCCTGGTTCACTACCAGTACATGTGTACTTCCTGGTTCACTACCAGTACATGTGTACTTCCTGGTTCACTACCAGTACATGTGTACTTCCTGGTTCACTACCAGTACATGTGTACTTCCTGGTTCACTACCAGTACATGTGTACTTCCTGGTTCACTACCAGAACAAGAGAACTACCTGGTTCACTACCAGTACAGTGTACTTCCTGGTTCACTACCAGTACATGTGTACTTCCTGGTTCACTACCAGTACATGTGTACTTCCTGGTTCACTACCAGTACATGTGTACTTCCTGGTTCACTACCAGTACATGTGTACTTCCTGGTTCACTACCAGTACATGTGTACTTCCTGGTTCACTACCAGTACATGTGTACTTCCTGGTTCACTACCAGTACATGTGTACTTCCTGGTTCACTACCAGTACATGTGTACTTCCTGGTTCACTACCAGTACATGTGTACTTCCTGTTCACTACCCAGTACATGTGTCCTTCCTGGTTCACTACCAGTACATGTGTACTTCCTGGTTCACTACCAAAACAAGAGAACTACCTGGTTCACTACCAGTACATGTGTACTTCCTGGTTCACTACCAGTACATGTGTACTTCCTGGTTCACTACCAGAACATGTGTACTTCCTGGTTCACTACCAGTACATGTGTACTTCCTGGTTCACTACCAGAACAAGAGAACTACCTGGTTCACTACCAGTACATGTGTACTTCCTGGTTCACTACCAGTACATGTGTACTTCCTGGTTCACTACCAGAACATGTGTACTTCCTGGTTCACTACCAGAACAAGAGAACTACCTGGTTCACTACCAGAACAAGAGAACTACCTGGTTCACTACCAGTACATGTGTACTTCCTGGTTCACTACCAGTACATGTGTACTTCCTGGTTCACTACCAGTACATGTGTCCTTCCTGGTTCACTACCAGTACATGTGTACTTCCTGGTTCACTACCAGTACATGTGTACTTCCTGGTTCACTACCAGAACAAGAGAACTACCTGGTTCACTACCAGTACATGTGTACTTCCTGGTTCACTACCAGTACATGTGTACTTCCTGGTTCACTACCAGTACATGTGTCCTTCCTGGTTCACTACCAGTACATGTGTACTTCCTGGTTCACTACCAGTACATGTGTACTTCCTGGTTCACTACCAGTACATGTGTCCTTCCTGGTTCACTACCAGTACATGTGTACTTCCAGGTTTCACTACCAGTACATGTGTACTTCCTGGTTCACTACCAGTACATGTTTACTTCCTGGTTCACTACCAGTACATGTTTACTTCCTGGTTCACTACCAGTACATGTGTACTTCCTGGTTCACTAGCAGTACATGTGTACTTCCTGGTTCACTACCAGTACATGTGTACTTCCTGGTTCACTACCAGTACATGTGTACTTCCTGGTTCACTACCAGTACATGTGTACTTCCTGGTTCACTACCAGTACATGTGTACTTCCTGGTTCACTACCAGTGCATGTGTCCTTCCTGGTTCACTACCAGTACATGTGTACTTCCTGGTTCACTACCAGTGCATGTGTACTTCCTGGTTCACTACCAGAACAAGAGAACTACCTGGTTCACTACCAGTATAAGAATACTTTCTGGTTCACTAACTACCAGTACAGGAGTACTACCTGGTTCACTAACTACCAGTACAAGAGTGCTACCTGGTTCACTAACTACCAGTACATGAGTACTACCTGGTTCAATAGCTACCAGTACATGAGTACTACCTGGTTCACTAACTACCAGTACATGTGTACTACCTGGTTCACTAACTACCAGTACATGAGTACTACCTGGTTAACTAGCTACCAGTACAAGAGTACTACCTGGTTCACTAGCTACCAGTACAAGAGTACTACCTGGTTCACTAACTACCAGTACAAGGGTACTACCTGGATCACTAGCAACCAGTACAAGAGTACTACCTGGTTCACTAACTACCAGTACAAGGGTACTACCTGGATCACTAGCAACCAGTACAAGAGTACTACCTGGTTCACTTACTACCAGTACAAGAGTACTACCTGGTTCACTATAAGTGCAAGAGTACTACCAGTACAATAGTACTACCTGGTTCACTCTCAGTACAAGAGTACTACCAGTACAAGAGTACTACCTGGTTCACTACCAGTACAAGAGTACTACCTGGTTCACTACCAGTACAAGAGTACTACCAGTACAAGAGTACTACCTGGTTCACTACCAGTACAAGAGTACTACCTGCTTCACTACCAGTACAAGAGTACTACCTGCTTCACTACCAGTACAAGAGTACTACCTGCTTCACTACCAGTACAAGAGTACTACCAGTACAAGAGTACTACCTGCTTCACTACCAGTACAAGAGTACTACCAGTACAAGAGTACTACCTGCTTCACTACCAGTGCAAGAGTACTACCAGTACAAGAATACTACCTGGTTCACTACCAGTACAAGAGTACTACCAGTACAAGAGTACTACCTGCTTCACTACCAGTACAAGAGTACTACCAGTACAAGAGTACTTCCTGCTTCACTACCAGTACAAGAGTACTACCAGTACAAGAGTACTACCTGGTTCACTACCAGTACAAGAGTACTACCAGTACAAGAGTACTACCTGCTTCACTACCAGTACAAGAGTACTACCAGTACAAGAGTACTTCCTGCTTCACTACCAGTACAAGAGTACTACCAGTACAAGAGTACTACCTGGTTCACTACCAGTACAAGAGTACTACCTGGTTCACTACCAGTACAAGAGTACTACCAGTACAAGAGTACTACCTGCTCACTACCAGTACAAGAGTACTACCAGTACAAGAGTACTACCTGGTTCACTACCAGTACAAGAGTACTACCAGTACAAGAGTACTACCTGGTTCACTACCAGTACAAGAGTACTACCAGTACAAGAGTACTACCTGGTTCACTACCAGTACAAGAGTACTACCAGTACAAGAGTACTACCTGCTTCACTACCAGTACAAGAGTACTACCAGTACAAGAGTACTACCAGTACAAGAGTACTACCAGTACAAGAGTACTACCAGTACAAGAGTACTACCTGCTTCACTACCAGTACAAGAGTACTACCAGTACAAGAGTACTACCAGTACAAGAGTACTACCTGGTTCACTACCAGTACAAGAGTACTACCAGTACAAGAGTACTACCTGGTTCACTACCAGTACAAGAGTACTACCAGTACAAGAGTACTACCTGCTTCACTACCAGTACAAGAGTACTACCAGTACAAGAGTACTACCAGTACAAGAGTACTACCAGTACAAGAGTACTACCTGCTTCACTACCAGTACAAGAGTACTACCAGTACAAGAGTACTACCTGGTTCACTACCAGTACAAGAGTACTACCAGTACAAGAGTACTACCAGTACAAGAGTACTACCAGTACAAGAGTACTACCAGTACAAGAGTACTACCAGTACAAGAGTACTACCAGTACAAGAGTACTACCTGGTTCACTACCAGTACAAGAGTACTACCAGTACAAGAGTACTACCTGCTTCACTACCAGTACAAGAGTACTACCAGTACAAGAGTACTACCTGGTTCACTACCAGTACAAGAGTACTACCAGTACAAGAGTACTACCTGCTTCACTACCAGTACAAGAGTACTACCAGTACAAGAGTACTACCTGGTTCACTAACTACCCTCTCACGGAGAAGCGCTAAACCCGTCTGGGTCACGGTGTAACCCCCAAGTAGAGACCTCCGGCTCCCTGGATCAAGAACTCTTGACCAGCTGGTGGTGGTGGGCATCACCACAGACAGGTGGTCACGCCTGGAGGGAAGCGTTGCACGCAGATGGTCTCGCTGTTTCGCTCATTTCCAGCTGGTACGCGATCACCACATAGGTGGTGACGAAGCTGGCAATCTGCACAATGATGATAATAATGATAATTATTATTATTATTATTATAATTATTATTATTATTATTATATTATTATTATTATTATTATTATTATTATTATAAATACTATTATTATAAATAATAATAATAATAATAAATAATAATAATAATAATAATAATAATTATTATAATAATAATAATAATAATAATAATAATAGTAATAATAATAACAGTATTAATAATAATAATAATAATAATAATAATAATAATAATAATAATAATAATAATAATAATAATAATAAATAAATAATAATAATAATTAATAATAATAATATAATAATAATTAATAATAATAATAATAATATAAATAATAATAATAATAAAATAATACTATAATAAATAATAATAATAATAATAATAATACATAATATTAATAAAAATTAATAATAATAATAATAATAATAATAATAATATATAATATAATAATAATAATAATAATAATAATATATAATAATAATAATAAATAATAATAATAATAATAATATAATAATTAATAATAATAATAATAATAATAATAATAATAATAATAATAAATAATAATAATAATAAATAATAATAATTAATTAATAAAATAATAATAAAATAATAATAATAATAAAATAATAATAAATAATAATTAATAATAATAAAATAAATTATAATAATAATAAAAAATAATAAAATAAATAAATAATAATAAAATAATAATTATAATAATAATAATAATAATATTAATAATAAATAATAATAAAAATAATAATAATAATAATAATAATAAATAATAATAATAATAATAATAAAAATAATAATAAATAATAATAATAAATAATAATAAAAATAATAATAATAATATTTAATAATAAAATAATATTTATAATAATAATAATAAAATAAAAAATAATAATAATAATAAATAAAAATTTAAAAATTTAAATAATAATAATAAAAAATTAAATAATAATAATAATAATAATAATAATAATAATAATAATTAATAATAATAATAATATAATAATTAATAATAATAATAAATAAAAATAATAATAATAAATAATAATTAATAATAATAATTATAAAATAATAATAATAATATAAAATAATAATAAAATAATAATTAATAATAATATAATATTAAAATAAAAAATTATAATAATAATATAATAATAAATAAATAATAATAATAATATAATAATAAGATAATAATAATAATAATAATAATAATAAAAATAATAATAATAATTATTTTTAATAATAAAATAATAAAATAGTAATAATAATAAATAGTAAAATAATAATAATAAAATAATAATAATAATAATAATAATAATAATAATAATTAATTTATTATTTAATAATAATAATAAATAATAATAAATAACAATAATAATTAATAATTAATAAATAAAAATTAATAATAATTATATTAATCATAATAAAATATTAATAATAATAATAAAAATAAAAAAAAATAATATAAAAATAAATTATATTAATATCTATTATAAATAATAAAAAAATAAAAAAATAATAATAATAAAAAATAATAAAATAATTTAATAATAATAATAATAACAATAACAATAAAAAATAATAATAAAAATAACAATAACAAAAATAATAATAATAATAATCTATAATAATAATAATAATAATAATAAATAATAATAAAAAATAAAAAATAATAATAATATTAAAAATTTAAATAATAATAAAATAAAAATAATAAAAATAATAAAAATTTAATAATAATAAAATAATCATGTCAATAATCTTAATTAAAACTTACAACTGAGAAGCACTGCAGGAGGCCTACTTGCCCATACAAGGCAGGTTCTTCTCAAAACCCATAAGATCGCTCAAAATAATCAGATATGATTCGCGGAGGGTGAATATTACCTCCTATTCCTCGGATCAAGCCTTGGTGCCCTTACGATGCTGTGGTCATGTCAACTTACCGACAGGAAGCAGTGACGGTCGAGAACAAACAGCCCGTAGATAGAGAAGACAGGACCGTCTCGTAGAGCTGTGATGACATGATCGATCTGTGTGGCATGAACAACGACAGGAGTCATGTCTGGTGCTGTGATGACATGATCGATCTGTGTGGCATAAACTACGACTGGAGTCATGTCTGGTGCTGTGATGACATGATCGATCCCGTGTGGCAAAAACTATGACTGGAGTCATGTCTGGTGCTGTGATGACATGATCGATCTGTGTGGCATAAACTACGACTGGAGTCATGTCTGGTGCTGTGATGACATGATCGATCTGTGTGGCATAAACAATGACTGGAGTCATGTCTGGTGCTGTGATGACATGATCGATCTGTGTGGCATAAACAATGACAGGAGTCATGTCTGGTGCTGTGATGACATGATCGATCTGTGTGGCATAAACTACGACAGGAGTCATGTCTGGTGCTGTGATGACATGATCGATCTGTGTGGCATGAACAACGACAGGAGTCATGTCTGGTGACCTGATCTTCACCAGGTCACACACTTTCAGCCAGTGCAGGTTATCTTAGCGCAAGGCAGGTCACCGATGCTAATCCTAGGTTACTAAATGTTATGTTAGGTTAGGTTAGTTACATTAGGTTACGTTACGTTACTTTATGTTACGTTACGTTAGGTTACGTTAGTTACGTTAGGTTAGGTTAGGTTAGGTTAGGTTATGTTAGGTTACGTTAGGTTAGGCCAGGTTAGGTTAGGTTAGGTTAGGTTATGTTAGGTTACGTTAGGTTAGGTTAGGATAGGTCAGCTTAGGTAAGGTTAGGTTAGATTAGGTTAGGTCATCTTAGGTAAGGTTAGGTCAGGTTAGGTTAGGTTAGGTTAGGTTAGGTTAGGTTATGTTAGGTTTCGTTAGGTTTTGGTTAGGTTAGGGTTTGGTTACTTAGGTTTGGTTTAGTTAGGTTAGGTTAGGTTATGTTAGGTTACGTTTGGGCAGTTAGGTTAGGTTAGGTTAGGTTAGGGTTTTGGTTAGGTTAGGTTACGTCAGGTTAGGTTAGGTTAGGTTAGGTTAGGTTAGGTTGGGTTGGGTTGGGTTGGGTTGGGTTGGGTCGGGTTGGGTTGGGGTGGGTTAGTTTTGTTTACGTTAGGTTAGGTTAGGTAAGGTTAGGTTAGGTTAGGTTAGGTTAGGTTAGGTTAGGTTAGGATAGGTCAGGTTAGGTTAGGTTAGGTTAGGTTAGGTTAGGTTAGGTTAGGTCAGGTTAGGTAAGGTTAGGTTAGGTTAGGTTAGGTTAGGTTAGGTTAGCTTAGGTAAGGTTAGGTTAGGTTAGGTTAAGGGTTTGGTTAGGTTAGGTAGGTTAGGTTAGGGGTTTGGTTTTGGTTAGGTCGCTTAGGTAAGGTTAGGTTAGGTTAGGTTAGTTTTCGTTAGGTTTATGTTAGGTTTTGGTTAGGTTAGGGGTTTGGTTGGGTTGGGTTGGTTGGGTTGGGTTGGGTTGGGTTGGGTTAGGTTAGTTTACGTTAGGTTAGGTTAGGTTAGGTTAGGTTAGGTTACGTTAGGTTTTGGTTAGGTTTGGCTAGGTTAGGTTAGGTTAGGGTAGGTTAGTGTAGGTTAGGTTAGTTTAGTTTAGGTTTGGTTAGGTTAGGTTAGGTTAGATTTGGTTAGGTTAGGTTAGTTTTTTGGTTAGGTAGGTTTTGGTTAGGTTAGGTTAGGTTAGTTTTAAAGTTAGGTTAAGGTAGGTAGTTTACGTTTGGTTAGTTTAGGTTAGGTTAGTTTTGGTTAGGTTAGTTAGGTTAGGTTAGGTTAGGTTAGTTTAGGTTAGGTTAGGTTGGGTTTGGTTAGGTTAGTTTAGGTTAGGTTAGGTTAGGTTAGGTAGTTTACGTTAGGTTAGGTTAATTTTGTTTCGGTTAGGTTTTGGTTTAGTTTAGGTTAGGTTAGTTTAGGTTAGGTTAGGTTAGGTTAGGTTAGGTTTGGTTAGGTTAGGTTTGGTTAGGGTTTTGTTTTGGGTAGGTTAGGTTAGGTTTGGGTTTTTGGTTAGGTTAGGGTTTGGTTAGGTTAGGTTAGGTTAGGTTAGTTAGGTTAGGGTAAAGGGTTTGGTTAGGTTAATTAGGTTTTGTAGTTTTAGGTTAGGTTAGGGTTTGGTTAGGTAGTTACGTTAGGGTTTGGTTAGGTTAGGTAAGGTTAGTTTAGGGTTAGGTTAGGTTAGGTTAGGTTAGGTTAGGTTATTTTTGGTTAGTTTAGGTTTGTTAGGTTAGTTTTAGTTTAGTTTAGTTTAGTTTAGTTTAGGTTTAGTTTAGTTTAGTTTAGGTTAGGTTTTGGTTAGTTAAGGTTGGTTAGGTTTGTTTTTTGGTTGGTTTGGTTAGGTTTTTGGGGTTTTTTGGGGGGGTTAGGTTATTAGGTTAGGAATTTAAAATTTTATAAAATTTTTTAGGGTTTTTAATTAACAGGTTATTGAATTTTTATGGTTTTAATTTTGGGATAAATTTTTTTTTAATTAATTAAAATTATTAGGGATTAATTAATAAAAATTAATTTTAGTTAGGAAGGAATTTTTATAAGTTATTTTTTATTATAGGAATTATTATAATTTTTTTAAGGGGGTTTTTTTTTTTATTAAAAAATTTTTTTAAATATTATTTTTATTATTTTTGATTTGGGGAAAAAAAAAAATTTTTTTAATATTAATTATTTTAAAATTGGATTTTATTAAAAATTAATTAAGGAAAGGGGTTTTTTTTGTTTTAAAAATTTTTCCCCAAAAAAAAGAACCCCCTGTTTAAAGAACAAATCCCACAACTCCTCACAAAACTTCACACAAAAATTTCCAAAAAGGTGTCAAACCCCCGGCCAAAACTAGAGGACATCCCCCCCTAGGGGGCTTCACATCACGGACTTCCACACAGGGAACCCCCAGGAGGGTTCAGTCATCTAGTTAGGTTAGTTATTTTTGTTAGGTTTTTTTGGTTAGGTTTTTGGTTTAGGTTGTTTTGGGTTTTTTATTTTTTTTGAGTGGTTAGGTAGTTTTAGGTTGGGTTTAAAGGTTAGGTTTTTTTAGGTTGGGTAGTTAGGGGGGGTTAGGGGGTTTTTAGGTTAGGTTAGGTTAGGTTTGGGTTAGGTTCGGTTAGTTAGTTAGGTTAGTAAGGTTAGTTGGGTGGGGGGGGGGGTTAGGTAGGTTAGGTAGTTTGGTTATGGTTTGTCACAAACAGAGCAATCGTTTCCTGATACGGGTACGAATCATGTGATGACCCACAGCTGGAGCTCTCAGTCATCACTAGGAGACTTCAGTCATCACTAGGAGACTTCAGTCATCACTAGGAGGCTTCAGTCATCCCTAGGAGACTTCAGTCATCACTAGGAGGCTTCAGTCATCACTAGGAGGCTTCAGTCATCACTAGGAGGCTTCAGTCATCACTAGGAGACCAGTCATCTCTAGGAGGCTTCAGTCATCACTAGGAGACTTCAGTCATCACTAAAGAGGCTTCAGCCCATCACTAGGGGGCTTCAGTCATCACTGGGAGCCATCTCTCTAGGAGGCTTCAGTCATCACTAGGAGGCTTCAGTCATCACTAGGAGACCAGTCATCACTAAGAGGCTTCAGTCATCACTAGGAGGCTTCAGTCATCACTAGGAGACCAGTCATCTCTAGGAGACTTCAGTCATCACTAGGATGCTTCAGTCATCACTAAGAGACTTCAGTCATCACTAGGAGGCTTTAGTCATCACTAGGAGACTTCAGTCATCACTAGGAGGCTTTAGTCATCACTAGGAGGCTTCAGTCCTCACTAGAAGACTTTAGTCATCACTAAACTACTTCAGTTATCACTAGGAGACTTCGCTCATCACTAGGAGACTTCAGTCATCACTAGGAGACTTCAGTCATCACTAGGAGGCTTCAGTCATCCCTAGGAGACTTCAGTCATCACTAGGAGACTTCAGTCATCACTAGGAGGCTTCAGTCATCCCTAGGAGACTTCAGTCATCACTAAGAGGCTTCAGTCATCACTGGGAAAGGCTTCATCATAAATAGGAGACAGTCATCTCAAGGAGGCTTCAGTCATCACTAAGAGACTTCAGTCATCACTAGGAGACTTCAGTTATCACTAGGAGACTTCACTCATCACTAGGAGACTTCAGTCATCACTAGGAGGCTTCAGTCATCACTAGGAGGCTTCAGTCATCACTAGGAGACTTCAGTCATCACTAGGAGACTTTAGTCATCACTAAACTACTTCAGTTATCACTAGGAGACTTCGCTCATCACTGGGAGACTTAAAGTCTCATCATAGGAGACTTCAATCATCACTATGAGACTTCAGTCATCACTAGGAACTTCAGTCATCACTAGAGACTTCAGTCATCACTAAGAGACTTCAGTTCATCATAGAGACTTCAGTCATCACTAGGAGACTTCAGTCATCACTAGGAGACTTCAGTCATCACTAGGAGACTTCAGTCATCCTTTTAGACTTCAGTCATCACTGGGAGACTTCAGTCATCACTAGGAGACTTCAGTCATCACTAAAATACTTCAGTCATCACTAGGAGACTTCGCTCATCACTAGGAGACTCAGTCATCACTAGGAGACTTCATAATCACTAGAGACTCATCATAAACAAGGAGACTTCAGTCATCACTAGGAGACTTCAGTCATCACTAAGAGACTTCAGTCATCACTAGGAGACTTCAGTCATCACTAGGAGACTTCAGTCATCACTAGGAGACTTCAGTCATCACTAGGAGGCTTCAGTCATCACTAGGAGACTTCAGTCATCACTAGGAGACTTCAGTCATCACTAGGAGACTTCAGTCATCACTAGGAGACTTCAGTCATCACTAGGAGACTTCAGTCATCACTAGTAGACTTCAGTCAACAGTAGGAGACTTCAATCAACACTAGGAGACTTCAGTCATCACTACGAGACTTCAGTCAAAAGTAGGAGATTTCAGTCATCACTAGGAGACTTCAGTGATCACTAGGTGACTTCAGTCATCACTAGGCTACTTCAGTCATCACTAGGAGACTTCAATCATCACTAGGAGACTTCAGTCATCACTAGGAGATTTCAGTCAACAGTAAGATACTTCAGTCAACAG